TCTGAAAAGGAAATCATATTGATCTCGGAGTACTGAGTTGTTTGTTTAGCCCTTCTGCATCAACATCATTAGGGTTTCTTATGTATCAAGAATATCAATTTATGTTTTTTAGATTTTTTGTCTCTAGGTCAATGATTGAACAGGGCCAAGAGAGAACGGGTATAATTATGGCAAGGCCAACATGGCATCTGGCAGATCATAGAGGGATCCAATGTGAAATGCACCCGTATTTATTACAATTTGCTTATTTGTTTGTTTAAAAAACACATGTCAGCATCAACCCTGCTTCTAAAGTGGTGGATTAGAATGGAAGCCAGAGTGAAACCTGGCAGGCTACAGATGGAGTTTGCAAAATCTGAAGTCTGCGGGCTTTTTAAGTGAGGACACTATTTTCTCTAATGCAGCTTGAGTGCGCTGGACCATTGAAATACTGATGGGCCAGCATTCTTAAGGGGAAAAGGGATAAAGGAAAGATGGGGGGAAACCATGAGAATGCAGAGTAGCTGCTTTAGAGAATCTGCTTGCTTCCATTTCCTTTCTTCCCCTTCCAATTCTACACAATCCCTTGAACGAATTCCCTCTAGCAATTTCTTCCATCATTCGTTTTTTGGTACAAAATGCCAGCCTGTCCTTTCCTCCGTTCCCGTGCCCCCGACTTTTAGGAAACCACCTATTTTGCTCATAATTAAAAAGAGGAGGATTAAGATCTTGGCATCCTTTGCGTGCACACACAAGGCTCTCCTGCTGCCTCTGGGGAAGCCCCCACCTTTCGGTCTCATTGTCTGCCCCATAGGATAATCCTCTCCTCTCCCAACCCCTTGCTGATTTCATTCATCCTCAAGGCAGGGGATGCAAAATGGGGCAGAATGCAAAGGACGGGAAAAACAACTTAATCCACCAAGGCTGCCAGACTTCCCAATTCAGATGGCCATTTCCGCTGCTCAGCCCTTCCTAATCCCATGTCAAGTGGGGATTTCCTGGGCCTTGTGTACACCCAGAGGACCTGGCTGGGGTGGCCATCACAGTCTGGCTCATTACACCACTTCTTTGTCACAAAGGAGCCCTGAAAACCCAGCAAATCCTCAAAAGTCCTCCATCAGAGAGAGCATTCACACTTGGAGTAATATCAAAATGATCCTAGTGGTTTGATCCAGCTCTACAATTCTGTGAAATGAACTGCAGGAGAAATATTCCCATCATAATTCCACATTTGGGCAATGATATTTACTAACGACAATCTAAATGCCACAAAACTGTGCAACTGTTCAAGTTTTGCAGCGCTTTCCATCTGGGCACATGGACAGGAAAAGAAAAGAGAAGGGGAAGGGATGGACAGACAGAGGAAGAAACAGAAGACTCCCCAAATTAGGGCAGGCTATTCCCAAACATTTTCTTCTTACAATCTACCTTGCTGAAAAATTCTCAGGAGCTCAGAAGCTCATACATTTTTTGTGGCATTTGGGTTGTTTCTCATAATGGCATTGCTCTACTATGGATTTGGCTGGCATCCTACATTACTGTTATGGATTCAGAACCTGACCTAAGAATCTGTAACTGATGTGAGAGCTGGAAAATGAGGCAGGCAGATAGGAGGAAAATCAATTCATTTGAAATGTGGTGCTGAAGAAGAGTGCTGAGGATAAATAACATGGACAGCCAAAAAGACAAATAAATGGGTCCTATAACAGATGAAAAGCCAAGATGATAAAGTTGAGGCTGTCATACTTTGGTCACATCATGAGAAGGAATGAATCATTAGAAAAGACAATAATGCTAGAAAAGGAGAGATGCAGCAAGAGAGGAAGGCATGCTAGAAGGATGAACTCTATTAAGGAGATCACAGGTATAAATTTGCAGGACCTAAGCAGAGCAGTGGAAAATAGGGAGTCTTGAAGATGTCTTATCCACAGGTTCATCATGCGTCGGAATCAACTCAAGGACAGTTAACAACAACAAACGGATCCATATTTGGCCATGCCCCATGGTCACAACTATGGCACTATTGCCACAATAACAAATGCCCCTCCCAACCTACCTTTGCAGCTAGCAGCTGCATCAAGTGATGGAAATCTGTTCTGGAGATCAGGGCACAGAAGGACAGTGATCTGCAGTGGGATGCAGAGTTGAGCTAGGATTTTGCTTCTGATTGTCACAGGTGAGAGGGGGCTGGAAATGCCATCCCTTTGTGCTCCAGTCCCAAGCGGAACAGATCTAAATTGCTTCTAGTGGCTGCTGGCTATTAAGCTAGGTTCTGGGAGTCAGGATGGGAGATGAGACCTAGGCTGTATCTACACTGCAGAATTAATGCAGTTTTGGCACTGCTTTGCCTTCCATGCTACGGAATTCTGGAATTTGTAGTTTTGTGAGATTTTTAGGGTTCTCTGACAGAGTTCTGGTGCCACACCAAACTACAAATCCCAGGTTTCCATAGCATTCTATAATGGTAGTTAAAGCAGTGTCAAACTGCATAGATTGTTCAGTGTGGCAGGGACCATAGCTACACATTCATAAATATGTCTGTGATGTAGTATCTCACATTTGTTTGGCTTTTTTTCCTCATGGACCAACACAACTCTCTTCCCCACCCTGCCTCAGCAAAGCTTCTGGCCTTGAATCTGGTTCCAAAACAGTATCTTTGCCTTCATTTGGCAATTTTATGGCATCCCTTATTTCAAGGGCTGCAAAGAAGGCTGATTCCAGGTTTGACAGTACTCTTGCTTCCTCCTCTCCAAGACCGCTCGGCTATCCCCACTTGGCATGGGCTTTCCTCTGATATGGAAAGGTCAAAGCTTGCCCATAAGGCCAAAGTAAGGTAGAACCATTCTGAAGGGAAAATAGTTTAAACAAGGAAAATTTCGAAGCCACAGAATTAATAAGCTCTTGGGAATCTTAAGGAAAAGCCTTTCCAGAGCCTTCTGACCTTACCATCGACTGAGTGCTTTCTATTAATAACTATAGCAATCTGAAATGTAAGGGAACATGAATAGTTTTGCCATGGTGCTTGCACAATAATTTTCCATTATGGCTTGACATGAGGGCTGTTCAATAACTGGCAAACATATGTCCAATCACATGCTCTCAGCCTCAAGGGAAGGCTACATCTCATGTTGTTGTGTGCCTTCAAGTCATTTTTGACTTAGGGCAACCCTAAGTTGAACCTATCCTGGGGTTTTCTTGGCAGGATTTGTTCAGAGGTGGCTTGCCATTGCCTTCATTTGAGGCTGAGAGAGTGTGACTTGCCTAAGGTCACCCAGTAGATTTCATGGCCAAGCTGGGAATCAAACCCTGGTCTCCAGAGTTGTAGTCCAACACTCAAACCACTATGCCATGCTGGCTCATACAACCTCATTTAAATTCAAACACACTTCATACCACTATTTACCCAGAATGACATTCATGTGGCATTGCTCTGTGGCATAGTGGGAAAATGAAATAGTGATGCACATTTCCCACCATGGCAACCATTTTAAATCCCCCCAGTCTTCTGTAAAGCTACATCAATGAGGGGGTAGGTGGGTATTAAAATAGAAATTTGCAGTCATGGTTGCCCAGCACTGGCAGATGGCAAGCCCTGCTACGATGCCCAGGATCAAACAGTTGCCCAAAAGGGCTAGATGCCAAGATTGGGTCTGGATACAAGCCATTTGTTTTTAAAAAATCTTGAGTTTAATAATCATAGAATCATAGAGTTGGAAGAGAACACAAGGGACATCCAGTCCAACCCCCTGCCATGCAGGAACTCAAAATCAAACCATCCCAAACAGATGGCCATCCAGCCTCTGTTTAAAGACTCCCAAAGAAGGAGACTCCAACACTCTCTGGAGGAGTATGTTCTTCTGTCGAATAGCTCTTACTGCTAGGACATTCTTCCTAATGTTGAGGCGGAATCTCTTTTCCTATAGCTTGCATCCATAGCAGCAGAAAACAAGCTTGCTCCATCCTCAATATCATCATTCTTTCAGTTCATGGGGGGAAGCAAATAACCAGTGCCTCTCATGGGTGGCCCCAATCTTCTCCTCGAGACCCCCAACAAACCCCATTGGTGCACAATTTGCAGCAGTGAGGACAATAATAGGGCATAACACCTCTTTTAAACAAGGTGCCTGGGGAGTAGGTGCCTGGTTTTGAAGCTGACCTACGCTTCAGGAAGCCTCCCTGCAGGATTCAGCATAAAAAACAGAGACACACTTGCTGTGCATTAGTTTAAAGCAGGGGTAGGCAACCTTTTAAAGCCGTGGGCTGAGTTGCTGTCCCTCAGACAGTTGGGGGGCCGAAGCACCACAAATCAATCAATCAATCAATCAATAAATAAATAAATATATTTTTTAAAAAAATTAAAAAATATGCATGCACACTCTCTAAGCCCCAGAAAAGCCATGCAAAAACCCTGTGGAGATTTTGCCAAGAAAACCCCAAGAACAAGTAATAACAACAATAATCAATATCATCATGGTGGGCGGCGGCGGCGGCAGGACCGGCCTGGGGCCGGTCCAAAGGCCTCACTGGGCCGCATCCGGCCCCCGGGCCTTAGGTTGCCTACCCCTGGTTTAAAGCGTAGAGTGGCATTGTAGACCTGGCAGCGCCAAAGCAATGGCACCACAGGGTGCAGCCTCTTGTGAATTCAGAAGGAGCCAATGCCATCTCCATCCCACCCTAGCAATTGTCAATCCCTGTTTTCCACCACTAATTGATCAAATAATAACATTTAGATATATGTCAATAGTTCAATGTAACTTTACCATCTGCATGCTTTATTACTTTTCCTATCACCACCATCATCATCATCATCAAAAGGTTTATATCAGGGATGGGTATTTGTGGTGGATCTAGCCATGGATACTCATGATCTCCTATTCCATGTTGTTGTTATGTGCCTTTAAGTCATTTCCAACTTATGGTGACTCTAAGGTGAATCTGTCACAAGGTTTTGTAGGGGGGCATTAACTTTGCGTTCCTCTGAGGCTGAGGGAGCGTGACTTGGCTATGGTCACCCTGTGGGTTAGCAGAGCAGGGATTCGAACCTTGGTCTTTAGAGTCATAGTCCAATGCTCAAACCACTACACCACGCTAGCACTTTCTTATTCATAGGGTCACTATAAGTTAAAGCCAACTTGACAGCAATTCAGAACAAAAGAAATTCTCTCCTGTGAAGGCAGTATTTGCACTGAGATGAAATCACTGGTGTTAATGGGGGATTTCCACCCTTCTTTTACACATAAAAGCAAAAGCACCTTCAGAAGACTACATCACACACACACATACATCAAAGAAGGAGAGGAAAGGCATTCATTTTCAGCTCAGCGTTTAATAACATATCTTCCACTATTTCAAAGATGAAAACCAGGACACCTGCGGCCAAGCAACATCAAGAGTGTGGTCAAGGTGGCAAAAGTTATTAATGAGGAAGAATACACTAGGAGGGGCTGCAGTTTGCTTTTGCCTGAGCTTGCAGAGAAAACCAAGATTCAGTCCCCTCTTATCCTCTCCACTCTGCTGAGTTAAAAACTGAGTGCAAGCTATTTTTGCACCTAGTTTGCAGCAGCTGAAGTAATCTGAGGACAACAGGGGAAAGTAGGAGAAGAGAGAAATTGGGACATTTTAAAATAAGCTGAAATAAAGGAACAGCAGAGGATTAATCAGGACTTTCCCTGCGATAATTATTAGGAAATCTCTCTTCCCACAGCAGTTGAAACTATTTTCATGGGGGACGAGTGAATATAAATCATACTATCGAAGAATCTTTGAAAGGGACCTCAAAGGCCATTTAGCACAACCCTCTGCCATGCAGGAATACACAACTAAAGCAATCCTAAATGATGCCTATCCAACATTTAAAGATCTCCAAAGAGGGTTTGCCACCCTCTTTTCACTGGAGAACAGCTCTTACAGTAATGACGTTCTTCCTAATGTTTAGGTGGTATCCCTTTTCTTGCAGTGCAAAACTGCATTTAACATTGGGGAACATCTGGTACTTAGCACATGTGACAAGGATTGGAAAAGGATTTCTCAGGTCGCTGCCACACTGCAGAATTAATGCCGTCTGACACCGCTTTAACTGCCATGGCTCCATTTTATGGAATCTTGAGATTGGTGGTTTCTTGTGTCACCAAAGTGTTCTGACACAGAAGGCTAAATATCTTGCAAAACTACAAATCCTTAAATTCCATAGCATTGAGCCACGGCAGTTCAAGTGGTGTCAAACTGCATTAATTCTGAAGTGCAGATGTAGCTATATTCAATTTGAATCACTCCAAACATTTTCCCCCTTCCCTATTTATTAAAAGCTGAAGCTGAATCCACTTGGCTCATCTCCTGTTCTCCTCTCTCTGTTTTCTTGGCCCGGCTACACACTTTGGCTCCCACAATATTTTTTAAAAAGATGTCTTTATTATGCAAACCTCGGCATTTTCCAACAGGCCTCATTTTTTTGGGACAAAACACCTTTCCTACAACCATTATCAAAATCTCTCCCCCATCATCTTCAGCAAACAAGAATCCAGCTTCTAAAACAGACTGGCTTGGTCACCACAGTGAAGGATCTCTGAGATTCTTCCCCAAAGAAGTCGAACAACTAAAAGAGTGGGGGAATAACCCTAAATCATAGAATCATAGAATCATAGAGTTGGAAGAGACCACAAGGGCCATCCAGTCCAACCCCCTGCTATGCAGGAACTCCCAATCAAAGCATCCCTGACAGATGGCCATCCAGCCTCTGCTTAAAGACCTCCAAGGAAGGAGACTCCACTACTCTCCGAGGGAGTGTGTTCCACTGTCGAACCGCCCTTACTGTCAAGAAGTTCCTTGTAATGTTGAGGTGGAATCTCTTTTCTTGCAGCTTGCATTCATTGTTTC